TAGGGAATAGAGAGGGAGAGAAAAAGTCAGAAATGTTTGGGGAAGGGAAGGGAATGCATTTTAAAATAAATAAAAAAAGAAAAACTAGGGGTTTTGCTACACACTTACCTGCATCCAAGCTGCTGGGGCTGCTCCCATGACCCTGCCTGGCTGCATGCTGGCCACATGCATGTGCACATGCAGATGCATGTGTGCCCACTGCCTCCAAATCGCCCCAAGCAGCAACTTGCAGGCTGGAAGGCTGCCAGCTTCCAAGGGGAAACCTGTGGTTTCCTGCATTTTTCTGGGACTTGCTCATGACCCTTTCAAATATTTTTGCAACCTACTTCTGGGTTGTGACCCATGGGTGGAGAAACACTGCTCTAGAGGCTAGGTTAACAAGATCCAATAGAGCTGTGATTATCATATTTTTTTGCATACAACATGTACCAGAATAAAATAAGCATCTTATTTTTGAAAGGTAGAATGACATAAAAATGATCTTTCCTTATAGTAAGTAACTGAGAGAGCTGGGCCTGCTCATTGGTCTGCTCCCTGTGAGTTTCAGGCAGATTTCATTTTTACTTTTGACCAGTAACTGGAAGAAACTGTTTTTACTGTATTTCTTACATATAATGCACACTACCATTTTTAGGATTGGCTTTTAGTGATAAAGTCTGTGTTGTACATGGAAAAATATGGTAATTTCTATTTTTAGATGATGTGTTGTGGTCAATCCTGCTTAGGTCAGAGATAATGTGTTTTATCTTTGCCTTAATCAGGCCCTCTTATTTCTCTCTTTGTGGTTGGAAAGCATAACCACTATTGAATAATACTGGTGAAGTCCTGCTACATTAGGAGAGAAAGATATGACTTCACAAGAGAAACAGCTGCCAAGATTATCTATATACAGTTCACTTGTAATATCTGTGCATCTTTTATTAGTTTATAGAAACAGCAACATATTAATACGGTAATATAAAGGTCAACTAGAGTATTCATGAGTAAAGGAGAGTGAATCATGTAGGACATAATACAGTAATAGAAAGGTCAGCTAGAATATTTTTGAGTAAAGGAGAGTGAATCATGTAGGACATCTCAGTAAAATTCTTATGCTGCACCCTTAATTTTCTACTTGCTACACACACTACCAAAACCCTATTTAATACATGCATTAGTTTTACAACATTTTTGTATCAGGATTACATTTTTAATCCTTTTCTGGTAAAATGAGGTGATTCAGGAACTCCCCTTAACTGTATAGATCATGAAGGCATATTTTAAAATAATTATGTTTCAAGTACCTCAAAAAATCTAAAATACATTTCCCAGTTACAAAATGGCTACTTTTCTTTAAACAGTATTCTGATACTTTTCAAAGCTTACATCTTGCAAAGTTCCATTGAAAAGGGGGAAATTTTCCATGGTATAAAGCCTTATAAAACTGTGAGAAATTGGACATGACTTAGAAATAGTTATTGCTTGTTTATATCTGAACTTCAGAACACTGTATTTGTGGGGAAGGATGAATACATATTCCTTATCAAAAATCAAGTCACTGAACCCCGCCCCCAAATTGGGGGCCCCAATCCAAACCAACCCCCCCCAAACCCCCCCCCCCAACAAACCACCCCCCGACAC